CCTCATGTTCAGTCATTAAATAAACCCAGACCACTCCCTCTCCCACTGCTGTGCCTTGGGATACACATGTTGTACATTTACAGCGAGTTAGTCTTGGCTGATTTCCTCACAGAAGAATTCCCTAAGTGAGGGAATTTGTGAGTTTTGGATTTGTCTATGATAAGTTTGAGAATAAATCAGTAAAGCAGGAACATTTCCATATTACTCTTGATCCCTCATCAGTACGGTAATTTATCCTGCTCCATTTTATACGCTTAATAACCATTTGTCGGTTTCATTTATCAAGAAGTTCAGGAAGTGAGCTGAATATTAAGAAACGACGCATGGACAAATTGTTGTTTGCAGATAGATGCTTCTTCTCCATGTCTTCACCTTCTCCTTCTCTCCTCCCAGATGTGATGGTGTGGTCCAATGAGCGTGTGATGTGCTGGGTGCAGAACATCGGTCTGAAGGAGTACGGCGACAACCTGCGTGAGAGCGGCATCCATGGGGCTCTGCTGGCTTTAGACGACACCTTCGACTTCACTGACCTGGCCCTGCTGCTGCAGATTCCCAACCAGAGCACACAGGTAATGGATTAATGAAGAGGCGTTAGTGCAGAGACCTCCTTCGTAAAATGGATCTATTTGATTTTTTATATATTTAAGAGCCAGGAAACATAGAGAGGTGCTAAGCCCGAATTAATGAATGGCAGCAAAGCACACCGCTCCTGAAAATGTGTCATCTGTAGTCCAAATGAATCTCAAAGCTCTGCATCACTTTTCTCCTGCAGGCCCGACAGCTCCTGGAGCAAGAGTACAACTCACTCCTCGCCATGGGAACCGAAAGACGACCTGATGAGGTCAGCATAATAGCAGATATAACGTAAGAAGTAAAGGATTGTCTGAGCGGCCATCTTTTTGTTCACACACTTGTCTGTTTGGCAGGATGGAGTGAAGACGTTCAGCCGCTCGCCCTCCTGGAGGAAGATGTTTAGAGAGACAGACCTTCGGGGCGTGACCTCCGACTCCGCTGAGACCCTGCCTGCTAACTTCCGTGCCTCAGCCATTTCCACGCCCTCCGTCACCCTGAGAAAGGTTCAGAGTGATGGTGAGTACGACCCCTCACCTATGGCACCTTCGCTCTCATATTCACATTTGTGTGGCTCCTATGAGCCCTTGAGGCCCGTCTCAATTTAGACTATGTGTGAAGACATGTTATTCTATACGGCTTTACTCACAGGCAGAGCATGACAGGAATCAGGGCGAACGGTCTGTTGTAGTGAGGCTCCAGGGCTCATTAGGTACAACTTTGTAAATACATTTGTTCCAATCTCGAGCCCTTGGGAGGGGGTTAATATTCAGAGAAAATGATTTCCCAGATTAAAGTCTTAGAAAATCAAGATTACAAAAGACATTTCTGGTTTTTTGTTGTTGTCGAGGAACCACATTGCTTTACTTTGCAAGGTCAGATAACGCTCATCAGACATGAAACATGTTTTTTTTCAGTCATGTTATATAAGGTGCTGCAAAGAGTCACATGCACACAGCAGTTGGTTGTTTTTGCGCTACTCTGCCATTAGTTTGTATTTTCTTTAGCAGAGGAGCAGGCAATAACAGGGAACAGATGCTTTAAAGTACAGAGGAAGACTATTATCCTCAATTCCACTTCTTAATAGGAATGCCTGTGAAAGGTCAGTGCTGTTTGAGGCATTGATGTTACAATAATGACCCCTTCTGTGTTTGTTTCCCGGTCTATAACACAGCCAGCTCTGCTGCCCGGGGTGAATCTGCCTCAGTGAGGACGTACTCCTGTTGAGGGGCTGAGGTGAGAGCACTTTACTTTTACTGCCTAGTAGTGTTTAATCCTCACGGTTTTATCTGTGTGTTGAGGCAAAACACTTGAGATTCCAAGATGTTTTCACATATGCCATGCACATTTCCTTCATTCTGATCATTTTATGTATTTGTTTGTTATAGTTGATTGGTATGAGCGTGGGATTTTAGTATTTTGTCCCACTAAGATCTTTAAGTGGTGGGTTTTGTTGGTAGGGATTTAGGCTGAGTTAAATTAAGGCCAGGGATGCAATGATGCAGGAATAATGTTGTTTCTTTCCTCAGGGCGCTGACTGGATTGGGACTAGAGGAGCCTCTCGCTCATCCAAGGAGAACGAAGCAATGAATATAACCATTTAACTTAAAAATAAAACTATCGGTCTGACCATTCTGCAATAACATAAGCAAAGGAATAAAGGGGGAAATGACATGAAGAATGTATGAATGTATTTTCCGACCAGACTTGGTAGGTTGAATGGGATCAGCTGTTTTCTCTCTCTGTCTCTCTCTTCCTGTCATTCTGTCTTTGCTCTACCTCTCTAAATGTGACTGTGGGTTAGTAATCGAGGTACAACACCGGTGTTGGTTCAGTTTGTGCCGGTTGTGCATGTTTCCCCCTCTCTTCATTCCGGTTGGAGTCTGCACACAGTCAGCAGAGTTGGCAACATCAGGGCTCATTTTCCTACCTTCAGAGGAAACCACTACTTGCTGCCATTGATCCTCTTACAGTTTGAAACAACAACTAAACATGTCGCCTTATAACTTCTGCTCAACAACCGGTGTCTTTAATGAGACCGGGGGCAGAAGTTAACCTCACCATAAAGTTTAGATTCAATTTAAAATTGTAAACTGATTGAGGGGAATCATGGGATGAACCGGTTTTAACTCTAAACAACACCGGTGTTCTCATGTCTGCTCATGGTGTCCAGTATCGGCTATGTAGGCTCTTTTGTACGATTCTATGGGCCCGTCAGGGGGGTCTGAGTGTCCCCACTTGGTTGCAGTGGTGTAGTAAAACACGTCCGAGTTCAGACTGTTCTGCTCCGACTACATCACAGGGACCCTCCTCATGCTTTGTCTATTGGCACCTTGAAAGCCGATCTCTTTTGAAGGGACCCCATTACGGAGATCAAAGGCAGGGGTGGATGGGACAGGGTGGAGCGAGGCCACAGAGGCATTGTGTTCATGATAACGATAGAAGGAAATCCATAAAGTTAGTCCTGGTACCACTTTCTGAAAAGGCGTACTTTACAAAGACTTCATAACTTTTAAAGGGGCCATCTGCACATTTTCTTTACTGGTCTGCTTCAAGGGAAGTGTAGGATTCACTCACTAGGGAGTAAAAAGTCAGGATATCTGAGCCCTCTGATGCTTTTTACCTTATTATCTTTCCGTGTGCAATACTAAAAGGGTTGGGCACCTCCTTCACGTATAATTATTAGATCACTATCACATACATCAGTACCTTGGTAAAGTATGAGGTTCTTATTAACAGTTATTACTGCAGAGTTTGGTAGATTAGTATGAGGAACTGCTTGTCAAGCAGTCACAATTATTCTGACTTAATGAGACGTTAGATCTGTGGTCTAAGATGCATCTTTAGCCACTCATAAAGGGTTATTGCATCACATATAATGTGCTATTTGGAGTTTAAAATTATAATATTTGTTAATACATTGATTGAAGAGGTAGCTAAAAAGTTAGGTTTTCGCTAGCTATGCATTATTTTATACCAGGCCTCAAAATAATTGACTATAAGAACTCTATTACCCTGACATTAATTAATGATGTTAATAAAGTATATTCTTATTAAAAAGTGGTACCAAAGAGTTACAACTATTGAGGAACGCATGACATTGGGGTCACATTTTAAACTCCTCACTTTCCCCCCCACGATGGGTTTGGGTGCTTCATGACTTGTAATCATCAGCTCAGGGTCTTGGGTATTCCTGATGATGAGAGAGGTGCAGAGAGACAAAACAGCGGCTCACAGCGAGGAGAGAACAAAACTGAAAGGGTGGACAGAAGCCGGTCATTTTACTGCACACACAAGCCATAACAGATACCAAGAGCTCTCTGGGGGGTGAGATCAGAGAGAGGCAGGGAGAGAGGGCGAGGAAGCCCGGGAAACAAAACCTTTAGCCTCTGTGTTTACGATGCATGTCAAACAAATGACAATGACCTAAAATCTTTTTTTTTGGGTGGTGAAGATGATATGAGGTGTCTTTAAAAATATATATCTGTATGATAAACCTATGGGGATTGGGAGCCTGGGGATCAATTTGTAAAATGTGTGTATTTTTTTCAGTTGTATTTATTATTTTTTACGATATCTATTTATTTTCTTTAGGTATGTATTGGATAATTGTATGTATATGTTCTGTTCCTTCTTGGCTTCATTTGAACTAGTTTTAAAAGTAAATATGAAACATTGAAAATGGTCATTCAAATATGCTACTGTATGTGTACATTTTGAGAACAAATTGTGCAATGATTTAACAGATTTCCATGATAAAAGTGATAGTAATACAAATTGAAAATATCATCTGAAAAATAAATAATAATGATGATGAAAATGGTGATGTAAAGAAAACAGAAAATAAAGCGATCCAAGTGGGTATGCTGATAATCGCAAACTTTCTCCATTTTCATCCCCCCCCACTTTTGTTTTTCTTTCTCTTCTGATCAGTCTCCTCAGTATAGCGCTTGGTATAACTACATTTACCCAGTTATTTACTCAATTATAGATACCTTTTTTGACTTTTCACATTTTCACATTTGTGAGGCAAATATTGTACTTTATACATTTATTTTTACAACATTATATTTATTTTTACTGCAGATGGAAATGAGCTAATAGCTAAATCCGACATAAATAGTTTCATCTCTTTATGAGATGTGTGTTTGTTTATGTATTGCCCTTGTTTAATAAAGACTAATCATTAGAATTTGCAGACGAAATATACATTACTTTTACGTGTAATTGAGCTAAATTATGGATTTGCTACTTTGACATGAGTAACAGCTCAGAATACTTTTACTGTCATTTGTAAAGCTGCCTGGTATTGTCGGATAACAACAGTAAAATAACTGACATTTATTACTCAATATCTTTTGATATTTTGCGCCAGAGTGCTTTGAGAATTCAAATCTGCATATCAGTTACATTGTTGGACAATAAACGGCTGAGTACAAAGATCCTTTATTACCACATTTGGCAGGCAAGCTGAACAAACCAGCAGATGTTAAAATGAGCTTGTCCTGGTGTCAGATAATTCACAAACCACATGGTTTTACATTCATGTACCACATTGAACAAGTTCCACACCGAGATGTTTCCTGCCATAAAACATTGTATAAAACCATGCTTATGTTTGCAGAGGCTGTCGTTTCTGTATCACAATCATGGTAATCCATATGGGAGCAGTAAAATGGAGCCTCAGTAGGTGGCGCTCCTCTCTCTCTACCCGGGCGGCCCAGAGGCTGGAATTATCATCAGACACTGGAGAGACTACCACTCCAAGAAGTTTTTCTATAAATACACACAGATATACATAGCTTCATATATAAAGGTATACTGGTGTCATAGTGTACACAAATATAAAGGAATATATTAATATCAAAGACATACACATGCTTACATACTAATCAAAAATAACTTAGATTATGAAAGATAAAAATCGTACAAAAACAGTACTTTTTAAAGTAAAATCTCTCTCTATATATATAGGAAACATTTCCCTAAGGTCTAGTATTGAGGTCTTCTTGTTTTTTTGAAAAGTCTTGTGAAGTTGTGGTGGAGGGAAGGAGAAATCCATCATGTTAAGGGAAATGAACCCAAAAGGATGTCTCACAGCTACTCTGCCTTGTGTCACTTTTTACTCCCCCCCCCCCACTCTCAGCCTCTCCCCTTCCTCCTCTTAATCCTGGGAACCTCCGTGACTCTGGCCAGCAGCACACAGACGCAAGACGAGTCAATGCGGATCCACCTCCATCCGATTCTGTTGTTAGCATCTTTGGTGAGCGCTCTGACGAACGACTGCTTGACTTTGCACTCACTGACCCACGCTTTTCTATCCACGCCAAAGCAGCCGTGCCTGGCTTCGCCCGTATCGACTGACACTGGTGCCACGCCGGCATTCGACCTGCCGTTGTTGCTGGACTGCTCTGCCTCGCGACAACGGGTCTCGTAGAAGTACTGTTTGAGTGGTCCAGTCTGGGTCTGGATCTCCTGCAAGACGGAGACTAAACGACCATGGGTGTCGATGGCAGTTTTCTTGTCATTAACCCAAACACTCTCTGCCTCGCACACAGATTTTTCTCCTCGCCTTCTGTCCATTGAGTGTGAGCGTTTATCCCTTTTAACAGAACGGTCAACCTCGGTAACTCTGGAAGAATCTGCCCAACTCGGAGGGGTGCTCCTGTCAATCGCCCGGTCCCCATGACCCTCGATGTGTCCGTCCACGTCCTCCTGCTCTTCTCTGTCCCTGTCCTCCTCCAGCAGGCCGGTCTCCAACATGAGCAGGAGAGGGGGGTGTTCTGGAGGCGACATGGAGGGGGAGAACAGGACTCGCGGGTGTGCGTCCAGAAACATCCCGTCTCCATCTAAGATATTGTCCATCCCCAGACCCAGCTCTGCGTCCAGGTTCAAGCCTCCTGTACTGATTGTAGGTGCATCTCTCAGCTTCTCCGAGGGAACAGTTGGTTCTGGTCCTCTTTGATCCTGTAGATTAGCAGCAGGACTGACGGCCTTATGGGTTTCTGCTGTAGTAACCAGCGACAACCGTTCTGTAGAGTCCTGAATATTGTCAGTCTTGTCCACAAACCTGGAGGAGTCCTGCCTGCTGTTGCTGCTATCAGCTTTGTAGTCCTTTGGTAGAGAGTTATCCTCGGTCCTGAGTGGTCCTCCTTCTTTGGGAACATCCCCACTGCTTTTGTGATCGCTGCCTGAGTTGCTAATCGATACGTAGGTTTCTTGATGCTCCACTTTGAACGTGGAAGTCTCTTCATCTGCGGAGGATTTCACATAATCCCTACGGTTTTGGAGGTTTTGTCTGTTGGTATGTTGGCTTAGAGCAGCAGCCATGTTGTAGTCCGCTTGTGAGACATTTTCATGGAAGTTGTAGTCCACAGGGGGAGCTGCGAGGCGAGAAGCCTGGTCATGACGGTTGTTTTTCGTTGCGGCGGCAATCCTGGACATGGGGTTATGAGGAAAGGGCAGGGCCGAGGCAATCACCATGGCAACCAGGGGAAGCCAGTGCATCACTCCCAAGACGTATCAGCTAAAAACACAGAGTTGATAGACAGGAGAGAGAGATAGAAAGAGAGAGACAATGTTATTTTATACAATACCAACTGTGGCATATACAGTCAGCTTAAGTACCTCAATTAGGATGTAAAATGGGAGATTTTACAGGCAGCCCACTGCTTTATGACCCTGGTGCTTTAACCGCTGAGGTATGGCTTTAAAATCTTGGCAGAACTTGTGGAAAAATAGGACCAAATACCGCAAGGTCGCCCTCTGCTTCATCATGTGGGAAGATGAAGTTAGCCTGAACCCTGTAATCTGACCTTCAAACTGAGACGCTGACAACATGGTATGTAAGACAGAAACTTTACAGCCAAAGGAAATGGATTTTAAAGACCTATGCGACCCGAGACAACAACCAGACAATCCCCTTTCAACTTTTGAAGACATGGGGCTTTCCTTTCTTTTTGTTGAAGCTTTTCCTAGGAACCAAGAATCTTGGAATCTCTTTAACATGGTTTACCTCAGATATTCTTCTGACGAAAACACACAAATTAGACCCAAAGCATCCCAGTACTGCTGAGGTAAACCTAAGGTATTCTACCTGTTCATACCCGGGCTGTGGGGATGATAGTTTTCCTTTGAAAAGATGATTCTCAAACATGATTTAATACATCTGCTGCATTCGATTGAAAGAGTTTACCAAAATTGATGTGCAAGCATCACTGTTGTCCTTAAGCTGCATTTTTCAAACCATGTGCAGCTTATTATCAAAAAACATTCGTAGTTGATTTGGTAAAGTAAACAATATAAACTGCAGAATGTTTTTAATAAATCCTCTTCGAGCTGAAGTCATGCAACAGTAATCAACATGTACAGTCTCAAAAACACGGTCAGAAACTCAAAACGTTTTAAACTTCCAGCTTCTCAAATGTGAACATGTGCGGCTTTTTCTTTGTCTTATAATTCAATCTCAATAGTCGCCTTGGACACTTTTCAATGTTATCTGACTTTCCATAAACCAAACAAATAATTGGTTTAAAAATTAAATAATCAGCAGATGAACTGATAATGAAAAAATAATTATAAGTTGCAGCCCTACTGTAGTTATTAACCAACAAGAATATTTATATTACGTTTTCTTTTTGTCGCTGCTTTTAATTGAACTATTCATATCTTAGATTGCACTGTAACTTTTATCCATGTACTTTTTCTTTTAATGTTTATTTTATTAGCTTTTCTTTTTAATGACTGATTTTAAATGCCATTTTCTTAATCTCTTTCATTTTTTGTAAAGCACTTTGAATTGCCTTGTGTTGAAAAGTGCTATATAAATAAACTTGCCTTGCCTTGCACCACATTATTTTAATACAAACATTTTACACAATCAAATATATTAAGAATCTAAAGCTTTGCAATTAAATAAAAAATGAATGACACTTTATCAAATGTGTGTTATTTACGTCTCACACACACACACATTAGGCTATGTTAAGTGATGACACATTGAAAAGTCAATATAATAACTGTTAACCAACAAACCTGTACAAAAGTCAAATAAAACACTCCCTATGGTGAGCCAAATGTAAACACCTTTAGGTGGTTTGTCATGCCCGACATCACCTGCATGAAACGTGAATCATAAGTCAGGTAAAGGGGACTCATTTGTACTTTAAAGTGAGGTTCACCTGTGACTAACTGAGAAAATATTTCATTCACACGTCTATGTGGCATGTACATTGCATGTTACCACACTCAGACGAGGTGAGCGTCAGTTTAGTTGTTTGTTTAAAAGCAGGGAAGAGGTCACTTGGAAAGAGTTAAAATAGGAAGAATGATCAGAATGTCAGAGATGCAGCTTTACTGGCGAGGCTCCTTCACCGTGTCCTCGGGCAGAAGAGAGAGAAGGAAAACATGTAAAGGCAACAGAAAACAATCGTGAAGGAGTGGATATCGCTACTGTTTGTTTGTTTGCTTTTGAGTGACTGAAATGAATAGATATATCTTAGACCAACAGTGAGTGTGCACGAACATGTGCGTAGGTGATCAAAGTAAAGCCTCTTTAGTGACAGGACATGCATTCAGCAGGGCCACACCCCGGACACAATGCAGCCGCCGAGGAGCAACAAGGTTTGGTCGACACATCATTCATGCAGTCTCCACGGGTGCTCAAAGTGCCTGCTTGTCATGCTGACGATAAATACCATCAAAGTGCCAGTAGCTTCCTGTTTTCTCTGGCTACTGATCCCCGCACCAGGCCTGCCAAATACTCACTTACTTTGAACAGTAAGCTGTTAACACACCCCTTAAACTTGGAAGTCATACAGCAAAGGTGAACAGAAGATATATTCAAACTTACTGTCACAGTAATTACATTTGTTGGATGCTGTATTGTCCTAGAATCTATTCAAAGTCAACTTCATTGTCAATCTTCAAAAAGATCGAAATGCTTTTTCGCACAATCCCCATGGAATAAAATAAAAATGATATACATATATATACACACCTGTACACCCATAGCTTATATGTACACACACTGTTGCTCATAAAGTTGGAATACTTTTGTTTTCATACACATTCCTCTTTTTATTCCTATTTAATTTTCACTGTGATCTCTTTGGAAATGATGATCAATAAAGTTTTGAGAAGATATACTCTTTATCTATCAAGAATAAATCCCATTGTCACAATTATTTCATGAGGAGAGGTATAACACATTGTATTCCAACTTCATTGGCAACAGTGTAAATAAATACACATAACCTGATCGATATGAGCGATATTATTTTTATTTTATGAGAAATACATTTGTAAAACGTAGGAATGTTTAGAAAACCCTGCTGTTTATGGTAGCATAATGTTGGCTGAAATGTTTATGGCATTCTTATGTCAACAATAGTCGTAATATACAAATTATTATTGATATTGTGAATGAAATATATTGGTTATATTTAGATTTTGGAAATTGTAAGGTTAGTCAAAATGTGTCTTTTCTTGGTTTTCACGCTGCATTACAGTCCAATGATGTCTGGTCTAACTGGCTAGTGACCAATTTAGTCATTATTTCCACATTACTGAGGATTATTGAAACAAAATCTGATTGCGTAACAACGTTGTGAGAGCACCAAAAGTCAACCGTACAATATGGTCACAATAGGGGATTGATCAAATATATTGTGATATTAGATTTTCTCCACACCGCTATGCCTTAGTAAATAAATACCAATTTAAACACAAACGTTGATATTGAGGCGAGCAAAAATGATCCAGGTCATGTCCATCTATCGATCGATACAATTACAGCTAACTTTAATATAAGACTCGAGGCTGGTAAAGCATACGAATGCAAAATCTGTTGAACAAGACCGATACATTTTCTGACTTATGGGATGTTTTACCCTGTGTACAATTGAGAGATATTGTTCTGTTAATGTACATAGTTTGGGGTTTATATTTGCTTGGATAATCATGATACCAAAGACAATTTTCCTGCCTCGGCTGGACAATAACGTTTTTCTAGATATACGCTGTTATGGGAAAAAATATTGCGGTCATGTTCATATAATTTTGCACGATAAATCAATAACATAATGATTGTGACAGGCCTACAGTTAATGTGTGAGTTTGTCTTCTGTTGCAGGACAGCTATATGCTTCCTAAGGGTTTTCCCTTCCACACAGAAGGCCGGCACAGTCTCTAAAGTGGTTCCTTTGTGAAACAGCAGCAGCACTTTATCACCATGCTCCATTTGCTACAATGACACGCATCATTTGCACTCCCTGCAAGGCTAGACGGGGTCCACGACGTTCTCCCGCCCTCTGGATCAGACGCAAGCACTCTGAATCCCTCCCAGACGAACACACACTCACACACAGAAATCCCAGCCTCTCTAAATCAAAAAACCTCACTTAGTAAATAAAACCCCACTCAACACTGCACACTTAATCTCCGTAGCCTGAACATCTTCCAAATGAGCACAGGAAGAATACCCTGAAACCACAGGAGCAGGAAGAAGACAAGCAGACAGAGAGCAACGACATCACCAAGCAAGGCTCCATGAATAATCAAACTAAACTATTTTCTGTGACACCTTCAGGAGCCTCAGTGGCCCCCTGAATTATTTAGCATTGATTATCACTGTGTATTAAGAAAACGGCCTGTTTCTTCTCTCCGATGTGGCTTTATGTTCATGCAGATCAGTCGGTGTCCTTCAGAAAAAACGTTTTCTTGAAAACCATGCAATACTGTAATATTCCCATAAGAATATCAGGGAGATGACCTCAGAGGACATTTTTAAGTGACAGTTTGAGATGGATCTATTCCACTTTGCTTTTTGACTAGACTTTAAACATGCAGTGTTTCCCTCCCTCTGCACCACTATTAAGTATATTTTTATATTTATGATGTTATTCTTGTTTTGACTTATTGTAAAGCATCACAATTTTGTATACACAAGGGTGTTATGATATTAATAGTGATACAACTAACAATCTTTATATTGACTGTACTGTTTGGTCTTTAAGTTTACAGACATACCAAGTAACATTTGAATATAACCACCTAGTTTTAACTCTCCAAAACATGAAAGACAAACAAGAAGATGCAGAAAAAAACAATAAAGGAAAGTGTTTTTGTAGTAGATGTGGCACCTGGCAAATTGGCCTGTCTACTGTTATGAGTGCTGTCAGTGTAAACCACAGGGGCTTAATCTATGTGACAGCATGAGTCAAGGAGGAATCAGCGGGGTTTACAGAGGGCGTCTGGCTGTGAGACCCTCACCGGGAAACAGATGCCATAAAGCAGCCCCACACCTGGCCGTGGCTACTGTGCTTTTTGCCTGTCAACAAAGTAATGCCCCCCTCATGCGTGGCTAATGTCAGACACGTCCGTCTGACAGAGTTAATGCACTCTGTGTTAGTGTTAGGACCAGGCCCCGTCCTAACCTAATCCTGCCTACTTTGAAGTCATCAGGGTGGAAGATGTCTTTGGTGGCCGGCTGATTAGAAGACAGTTTGCACATTTTCAGCAGATTCTTTCAGTCTGACTAAGCTGTCTGAAATGCACCTGAGTGTGACTGTCAGAAACGGTGACAACAGGAGTGGCTGTCGGACGTGGAAAAAACACACGCAGGTAAATGTTTCCCCTCCCTCTCTGTGTCTCTCTGTGAGGGTAGAGTAAAGTCTTGGCATCACATGTGCTCGTTTACAATGTCTTGCTGTCCCACTGTGCAAACAGCCCATTAATTCCAGGTCTGTGATTGTTTCATACCACGCTCAGCCTGCAAAGATCCAGCCTCCTCCACTCTAACCTGAGACCATATGAAACACCAATCCGCCTCATCTCTCTCCCTGTAAATCTTTCATTCTCCTTTAAAAACATGACAATAGACTGATGCACAGTTGTGAAGTACATATAATCAAGTACCGTACTACAGTACAATTTTAAGGTGCTTGTACTTGAGTTTTTCTGTTGTTTGCTACTATATACTACATTTTAGAGGGAAATAATGTACTTTTTTTCCACTACAAATATCACTTGTTGTGATTCAGATATTTGACAAACACATTATGATGTTATATTATAGAATAAGATACAACTTTAGTGATCCCATAAGGGAAATTCACAAGCTACCCAACAGATAAAGTTTATAAAGTAATAAATAAGTCCCACCTTTATAAATTGAAACAGTAAAGTGATGAACGCAGTAATTCATCAATCATTTATTCTGAATTCGGCTATTCTGTTAACTTTCATATTACAAATGTATCAAAATAAAGTACCATTAGTCAAAAGTATCCATTATACATGACTTTTCTTTACAGAGTAATTCTACGCTGCTACAGTGATGACACTTTTACTTTGGTACAAAACATGTGTCTTTATGCAGTAGTGCAATAATATAGCATGCCAAATGTCTTCATCTTCAAAGTGCTTGCTTGCCATCATAGAGTTATTGAATAAAAACTAAATATAATAGTATTATGACAAAATGATTTCCATTGAACTTGTTCCCCGAAAAAAGCACAGATTTTTTGCCTCTAATATTTTGAAGATATTAAATTAATACATCAACATCAGGTGTGTTTCTCATTATAACCTGTGTTTGATCTACCTGAAGATCGGGATGGGACATTGTATAGTTCTAACCTCTCCTGACAGACTGCCTGCCAACAAAAACAAAATGTGAAACAAGCTACAACTTAAAAGCTGCCAAGTAAAATAAAATGGGATTGGGACACTTCAAAATGCATCAGTCATGTACAAGGAATAACACGAACATAGTTCTAAGAGCATTAAAGATGAAAGACATTACATTTCATTGAAAATATTTAAAATAAATACAAATAAAAAGCCATCAAGTTATGTGTGCATGCATGGATAAATAAGTAAAAAAACATTACAAAATAAACTGTCCTAAATAAATATATTTGTAGTTACTAACATTATGTATCTAGTTGTGTTCCCAACTGACTGAACACCTTACAAATACAAATCATCAAATGAGTTATTGTGCACAGTGTGTAGTATTTAAACACGTTTAATGGAGGTCTAATGTGTAATAAAGACTTACCGTTTAGGTGAGATCCGGACCCCGCGTCCTTCCAGCTGACACCACATTGATTATAGAGTTCAGTCGCCAGTTGCTCAACTGGTTTACAATAATAAATTCAACAAACACCGTCGTATGGAAACCACATAGCTAAAGACGTACATGTCTCTCTTCTTTATTAGTCCGTGACATCGCATGTGCCCCCCAGAAATCCGACGGGAACAAGATAAGAAAAGTAAAGTTAGAAACCAGAAAAGTCTCCGGTCCTGGGAGCGCTTCCACTGCAGGGGGAAAAGACTAGTTAATGAGCCCAGAAAAGTGTCAAAAATGTAAACGTGCCACAAAGTTTAGATATTCCATGAGTTGTTATTCCTCAAGAGTAGACCAGGGAAGAGGTTTCCCTGTTCAAATATGTGAACGAAGAAGTGAAGAGGTGAATAAGTTGGCGAAATGTTTTTATGAACTGAACTCCGCCTGAAACGCGTTAAGTCGGACAAACAGTTAAACTAGCTTTAGTTAGAATTACAACTTCCGGTTTTCCCTTTCAAAGTCAAACCCACTTTTAGATGTCCGAATTGTAATGGAGCATTTGACTCGTAATCAGGCTTTTATTCCGAAGACATAAAAAAGCAACTTCCGCCGCAACTTCTTCTTGTCTGCTGCTAGCTTGACACGGATAATGACTCCGGTTTCTCCTGGGAAGCGCAAAGACAAACTGAAGTTTTTTTCCTCAGGAGGTTAGTATATTAAAAACATATCTACAACTTTACAACGAGTAATTTATGCAAAAGCAGATGTGTCTCAATCTCGCTTCTTGGAGGCATATTATTAAACAGTATAATCAAGCGTTACGTGTCCAATATTAGCCAAAAGTCAAATTGTATGCTAGCTAGATTAAATGCATACAACCAAACATTGAGTGAGTTAACTCAGACTTCACATGTGCGTGACTGTTTTTAGTTCACCGCCTTTTCTTACTTTCATCCCCGCCCCATAGTTATCAAGAAAAGCATTTGAGGAATTACCAGCAGTGTTGTGTTGGCACAGATCCACCTAAAGCGGGTTCATCATAGGTTGGCAACAGTGCAAATTATTACAAACAATCTGTAGTGAAGATGGATGGCCCAAATCGAAAAACTTCTCTTCTGTAAATGCAGGTTGCAACATAATCACATTTGGCTCAATCAGAACCAGCTATCCGACTCTGCTTTCTTATTGCTTCCTGTTTGCTTGCACCAGATCCTTCTCTTGGGTATGTGCCTTGCTCTTTGGCAGGTGAGTGTTTTGCTGACAGGATCTTTGGATGTTGATAACTTAATTTGCTGTATTAAGTATTTTATACAGCTCACAAAATATATAATAGTTACCAAAGTAAAACAATATATGGCACTATTTTAAAAAAAAAAGGCGCAAATCCTTAATCCATGCATTCATTTTAACAGGGGTAGTCTTGCTGATTTGGGGGCCACAGGCAATGCTGGACATGGGGCCCCCTCTTCCCAGCCTCGACCACCTTCACAGAACCAGCTGTTGTTTTATTTTATTGACTTCTAAAAAACTGCATCCAAGAAAAAACTATTTTTGAAACTAGGTAAAACAACACTGCTAGGTCTTCTATGAATTATGTTCATGACCTTAAAGGTGGGGTATGTAAGTTTGAGAAACCGGCTCGAGATACACTTTTTGTTATATTCCATGGAATGCTCTTAACATCCCGATAGCAATGAATATCTTAAGTGCTTTGACAAAAAATCCATTAATAAAATTCATCTGTGGAGTACTGGAGCCGTAGTACTGTAAAAAAGCACGACCAATCATTTTAGCCGGCCCGGCTAAAATAACAGGATGACCAACCTGCCTGTCAGCCTTCCATCTGTGCACAAACTTATCTCGTGCCCTCATTGGTCATGTGTGCGTTCGTGTGTGTTGGAGGGGGGGCTCTGTAAGGGAGTGGCAGATTTTTTCCGGTTGTGTATTTTCAAATTCTAGCGCACTCGAGCCGGTTTCTCCAAAATTACCTACCCCACCTTTAACATACTGCAAACTTTTTTAAACTGTGTATAATGAATTTGCCTTCAACATCAGAGTCCTATGATTATGTGGTTTCTCACTTAGATGTCAACATTGATATTTTCATTATTTATCGTGAAGATAACTGAAAACTATTCTTCCAAAAAGTGGATTTATTTATTGACGCCTCTGGCAAAGAAATATGTGATTACTCTTTGGTGTGCTTCCAATCTGGAGATCTTTAATAGTATTGCAAAACCGATATGTATTGACGTTTGTTACGTTTAAACATTTCATTAGATGGTTTTGTTCTCTTGGTACAAGAATATGCATTGGTATATGTTCCTTCTTTTTAATTGGATATATACTATCTATTTACTTTAGCTGAGTTTGCTTTGATGTTTGTTTACAGTGAACTACTTCTATTAATTGGTGTAATTAAAGTTATAAACACATTATCTGTATATGTTGGATGAATGGAGGCAGCTTTGGAACTCCTGTAAAAGTTGAAAGGATAAAAACAGGAGCCGGTGACTGGCTGCCCTCTCCACTCACAGGTCTTTGGGGGAAAGTCGGCGAAGGCCTTATGGAGACACAATGGAGGTCTATGGACGACGTGCAGGCCGACAGACAGTTCAACGGGTCCTCTGAGCAGATAAGTCGTCCCCATACAAACCAGACGAGGGTTCATTGCTATTGACCCGCGAGAACAGCGCGTCCACAGAGCCTCCCCACCTTGAATGGCCTTGTTGAAAAGGAGGGCCATAAATTGTGGGATGAGCAGGGGGGAGACTCTGCATCCCCCTCCTCCCGCATCCCCCTCTCTCACATGCTATCTCTTTCTTTCCTTTACCAAGTAGTGGTTTCCATCTCACCAAACCCTTTTCCCCCTGAATGTTTAAAAAGATGAAAGGATAAGGAAAAGAATGGAGACAAAAGAGGGGAGAGTTACATTACAACCCTGCCCCTGAGAGACTGCTCATGAAAGAGTCCGGGGATGGGAGAGATAGGGACCAGAGAGGAGACACAGAAAGAGAAGGGGGATCATGAAAAGAGGTTTTTCAAACTCAAAGCCGCTAAAACGGGTCTCTTCTGTATAGAGGCAGACTAAAGTGCAGTCTTCACTCAGGGACGGAGACATTTAACACTGTCAATACCCTCAAATAGAGGGGAGTGTTGATGTACTTGCACCCATTGACTGATTACACAAGCACACACACTATATGCATTTTTTCTTTTTCTCTTAACCATGCCCATCGTACAGCAGCACTCAGTGTAGATTTCAGAAAGTCTTCCACCAGATTATCGTTACCATTAACACACAAACACTACCTGGTGTCTCCCTCGCAAGCATTCCTCCTTCCTGGCATTTAGTGTCAGTCACTCTAAATCCTTGCAACCCTCCCACCATTCTCTCTATCTCTGACTTTGTCTGAACTTGCCCTCTATGTACTTAGATATTTCTGCCTCAGGGTGCATCAGTGAGAGTTGGAGTCTAAAAAAAAAGCAAGAGAAAGTTGTTAGCTTGATGCGGACAGGATTGGCGGTCAAACAAAGATGACGATTGAAAAGTCAGTGACGCAGAGGTTGTTTTTTTGCACTCTTGCTTCCACTCTCATAGACAAAACTAACTGCAACAATTCCACAATCAATGATGTACAGAGGTTAGTTCAATGTTCCTTCACAGTTTTTCTTTCTTATTGTCAATCAATCAATGTTTATTTATATAGCCCAATATCACAAAGGTTACATTTGTCTCAGTGATCTTCACAGTGTGTACAGAATATCAGTATGACAATACGACACCCTCTGTCCTTAGACCCTCACATCGTACAAGGAAAAACTTCCAGAGAAAACCCACAGTTTAAAGGGAAAATGGGAGAAACCTCAGGGAGAGCAACAGAGGAGGGATCCCTCTCCCAGGACGGACAGACGTGCAATAGATGCCGTATGTAAATCGAAAAGATAATACATTTACAACATAGGTAGTCCAAATGTTTGGAAATGCATGTGTCTATAATAAGAAGATGAATCCACGAGGATGTCAGCAATCTTGTGGGAGCCATCAGGGAAGTAGTATGGTGAGAGTCTGGCATGACCGCAGAGACAGGTTCAGCCACGACTCGAAGTCCAGGACTCAGATCCAGTGCTCAGGATAGAGGTTCCAGGACACACGACCACAGCAACATGATTAGCCTCGACTCAGGATCCCGGCGTATATATGGACACAAAAAAGAGATTTGGGGGAAACTGGGTTAATCGGAACATGAGAGTACACAGGTACAAACAGCCAGAAAGACGGAGTAAGGTGCCCCCCTCAACAGTCCAAGCCTATAGCAGCTAAACTAACGTGTCCACATACATGCACTCCCTTAGGATAGGTTGAGGGAAAAGGGTAGCAAGTAAGAATTAGGAAACAGAGGTGGAGAGGCACACACAGGGAAAAAGGTCCCCATTGGAACCTGAATTTGTCAGAGGTAGGAGTGGGTCAGTGACTACGTTCCACACTCCCCGGCCGGGCTAGGCGTTCTCTGCAACCTGTTACCCTCTAATAAACCTCGAGAGGTCAGAGAGGGGAAAGGTTTGGATAAAGTTTTAGGATTTAAGTGAAAGAGTAAGAACTAAAATGTATAGGTGAAGAGGCACAACGTATCTACGTCAATGCACTCTTATTAGATTATTTTATTTGATCACTATAAGCTTTATCAAAAAGGAAGGTCTTAAGCGTACTCTTAAAAACGGATAGGCTGTCTGCCGCCCGAACACAAACTGGAAGCTGATTCCACAAATGTGGAGCTTGATAAGAAAAGGCTCTGGCTCCCATTGTACTTTTAGAGACTCTAGGAACAACCAACAACCCTGCATTCTTGGAACGCAATGCCCTAATAGGACAGTAGGGTATAATGAGTTATTTAAGGTAAGATGGCGCCTGCCCATTAAGGGCTTTGTAGGCGAGAAGAAGAATTTTAAATTCTATCCTGTGTTCTATAGGGAGCCAGTGTAAGGCAGCCAGAACAGGAGTAATGTGGTCCCTCTTCCTAACTCTGGTTAGTACACGAGCTGCAGCATTTTGAATCAGCTGAAGCGACTTGACTGACTTCTTGGTACTCCCTGATAATAAAGAGTTACAATAATCCAGCCTAGAAGTAACAAATGCATGGACTAGTTTCTCTGCATCGTTTTGAGGCAAGATATGCCTAATTTTTGCAATGTTACGTAGATGGAAGTAGGCGGTCCTTGAGATTGATTTTATGTGGGCGTTAAAGGATAAATCCTGATCAAATATAACACCAAGATTCCTTACAGTCTCACTGGAGGCCAAATTAATGCCATCCATAACTAGTATATCTTTAGATAATTTGTTTCGTAGATTCTTTGGGCCGAGTACATTAACTTCAGTTTTGGTCGTGTTTAACATAAAAAAATGTAAGGTCATCCACGTTTTTAAGTCTTTGAGGCAGTCTTGAATTTTATTTAGATGATTGGTTTCATCAGGCTTGATGGATAAATATAGTTGAGTATCATCCGCATAACAGTGAAAATGTACAGAATGATTCTGTCACGTGTCTCATTATTTTTTTTCTAAACCCAGACTCACCAAAAGCCTTTAAGTCACAACATAATCCAGGAAATAACACAATTGTCTACAGCGGTTATCGTTTTTTCCTTTTGGGATTTCTCTTTTCAACAAACATGTTTCATGACCCAAACTGCTTTTCAGACTTTTATTAAAGCCCGACTATAACAAAACTGATCCTTTTCTCAACCTGCCTTTTACATGAAGAACTTGCCTTAGGCAACATCACTCACTGTGTCTCATATAGCTGGGATATTAGTTTCATTTTCTACTTATTATCTTCTGCTCATGATCCACCTTGTTGAATCTGGAAATTTCAGACCTATTCTCATTTCCAAATGTCACTTTCACTACCTCCAGCTCCTCTGAGAAATGTTTTCCCACACGCAGCGCCATCACACATCAACTTGTTGCTTCGCGTTGGACATCCTCCTTCGTTTGAAACTCAGATCTGAGCGTAATTGGAAGGTAGCTATTATGGCAATTACTGCAAATAGCTGAGCTGTCAGGGCGAGCTAAAAGTCTCTCTGTCCACAAGTGAGCCAGCGAGTCAGACGTCAGACCTCAATTACAGATGCTCGACCTCCCTATGGTACCAGTATGTCAGTTCTGCATCATCTCCTCTTCCATCTTCACACCCTTGGATTCTCTGCGTCTGATTTGTTTTTCCTTTTCAATCTTTTTCAACGCTCCTTCCATCATTCACCTTTAATGCACTCCACTCCCTCATCGTCCTCCTTCCCCCTATATTCAAACCTCTCTTTAATAGGAGTTGCACTGCCATTTGTAACACACTGAGGTATGGCTGCATATGTTTCCAATTTCAGGCGTAATGCTTCTCTCTGTGCAATCTGACCCAATTAGCCAAAGCCTCCTGGAAATGCCCCAGTCGGCAACCATGGTGGTAAAGAGGTAAAGGGTCAAAGGTGAGGTCATTCAAAGGGGGGGCCATACTTATGATTGTGTCACTTCCTGTCTGTCTGTCTGGCTTAGACATGCCCGGCTGTAGTGCTTAAGCTGCTGTCTAACGGACATATTTGGCACAGTTTTAGGATTGTAGAAAGAAAGAAACATTCATGGTCAAATTCAATTTCAAAGTTTACTAAAGGTCATAGAGGATGAGTGACACGGCTCGGAGCCAGACCACACGTAAACACACATGAACACCGAAGATACGCACACATGTTTGCTCCGACAAACAAAACACATGCGCCTTCAAGTCTCTCTGCGTAAAACTGAAATTAGTGCAAGGAATGTTCACCTTCGGGAAACGTATTGGGAGGGCGAGGGAATATGAGAGGTTCGAGCTGCGAACCCTCATTAGTGGAATGGAGGACTTATTTAGGTAATTCAGTTTAATGCTTAATGAGAAACAGGTTAGAATGGGTGCAAAATGCAGACTGGCGTTGCATTGCATTACCTGGCAGTCTGCCCCTTTCCGGGCCTGTCTGTTTAGATTTTCTGCTACGTGCGCTGTTGGTTCAGAAGCTGGGTCATTGTCAGTTTATAAAAGCAGCTTCAGACACTGCCATGCAGCCGTCGCCATGCGCACACACACTCTGCTCGTCTTGTTTACATCATCTGCCCCGCCGATCCCTCTCCTCTTACAGCACCTCGCTCTCTCCCTCCACAGATCACCTCTCAATCACTCGTCCTCGCCTCCTTATCTGTCCCCTTCAGTGTCTCGTTACAGGACTCCATCCACCTACAGCGGCTACACTTTCATTCACTTGCCACAGAGCCCCTGCAGTCTGGATGTCCCTGGATTAGACATTCAGCCTAGATAGTGAATGATCTATTTACAGTTACGTCTTCCTTCTCGGCAACGCAATCCACACCTCCCTCTGTTTTGAGTTTTTGCACTTATCCACCCCACCGACCTCCTCCGCATCCCCTCACCCCCTTCTTTCATAAGCCATGTTTTGTCCCTTTTATTTCCAGAGGAAAAACGTTACACATTGTAAACTTTAGTCACTGTACAACACCCCGCAGGATTGGATTTCAGAGGCAGACTTTGTGTTTGAACTGCTCTGGCAATTAGTAGAGGATAGACTTACAGTGCACCTACTGCACAATGGAGGCACCAGCCCAATTGTACAAGCCCCTGTTCACGTCCTGCCCCTCTCCATCTGTCACCCCTGTGGGACTGTGTGTGTGTGTTACAGTGTGTTGCTTTGCATGTGCATGGTGGTTTGAATTTTAGGTATGCGTGCATGTATGTTTGTTAGTGAGGTGCTTGTTACTAAACCCAATTACTAAATGGCAACACTTTTCTTTCAGTACACCAATCCATCAGTGTTTTAAGCTTGAACAAATAATTAAAACACAATTAAATGCATTCAAAAGTAGGTTCAGGTATCTCAAAGGAGTCATTAAGACATTAAAAATGCTGCCTTTTGTTTCCCAAAGCGGTCTAGCAGTGTGCTGTTATTGTTATATTTTCCTGACCCATATGTTTGGGAAATGCATTGTCTGTATTCTCTGTAACTCAAATTTGAATAGCCAAAGTATGAGAGTAGAGTTTTTATCATTCCAGGTGTAGCCTTATATCAAGCACTTATGCAATGTCTCACCCACACCAAGCCATGGCACCATATCACCCCCACCCTCATCCACCTACATTGGCTGCCGGTCAAGTCCCGGATTCAATACAAAACACTCATCCTCATGTACAAGTCCCTCCATTTAGACACGGGCCTGCTCTCCATCCCCCGCTCTCGCCTCCGAACTGTTGGTGACAGGGCATTCAGTGTTGCGGCCCCCCACCCTCTGGAATGCACTTCCTGCCGAGATCCGTAATGCTGCCTTCCTGGACATCTTCAAATCATCATTAAAAACACACCTGTTCACCCTGGCCTTCGGACCCTAGCCCTTTTCTGGTCCCCCGGCTTCCTTTATTTATTTATTTGGTTTGCCCGTTGATTGTCTGTTTGTTTTGTTTGTCCATCATGTACAGCGACCTTGGGTCCCTTGAAAGGCGCTATATAAATATCATTTATTATTATTATTATTATTATTAATGTCAGTAAGGGAGAGGGTTTTCAGGCTCATATCTTAACAAGGAGTGTTTTATGTCGTGTTAAGTGATTTGTATTTACATAACCAATTTGCCTCAAGGTGATTGGTGCTTCATACAACCTCCACTGTTGCTCGCTTCGGATGAGGAAAGTCCCCCTAAGAAAAAAAACGTACAGGAAGAGCACCAGAGGAAGGATCTCTTTTCCAGGGCCGACAGGTATGCATTTTATGTGTGTGTATAGAATGCCCAACACAAGTTACAGAGAGAGAGAAAAAGGAAATTGGGGAGGCTGATTCTCATTTAGGGTAAAGTCCGGATCCAAACATCTGTAATGTTGAACCAACCGAACATTAACTGGACAAACATGGACCACAAGAATGAGGCTTAGTAGATTGATTCAGACCAAACGGGGGCAAAGCCTGAAGTGATGAAAACATATAATAACCTCACTAAAAGTTAAAAAGCTGAGTTTCAAGTTGGGATTGAAAGGTCTCAGCAGTGTCAGACTGTCGGATGTCTGTAAAGTCACGTCGTTATATAACTTCGTATTTGACAGTTGAGAAGTGACGCTCATAAATCAATCCTGGCCTCCTCATAAAGCCCAATCATAGGCTGGCATTCCTGCACAGAGTACAGACAGTTAATGTGTGAATGTATTTCTGATTCTGTTTACTGATATGTCATGGTTCATGGAAAAAGCTTGATCCATGTAAGTACAGTATGTACCATGGGCCTCAATTCTGGCCTCTCTGACTGACACTGATATCTGTCAAAAGATCCCTCAGAGAGGCTACTGTGCACACTTCTCCACTCAGTGCAGTCATAGCGCCCTCCTGTGGAAGGGAGTTTGATCACGACCCCACCATCAACACCATCCAATATGTCCCAAACTCCCACCCTCCCCGGTTTATGTGATACTTTTTTACATAGGAATACATTTCTGAAATCAATTGAGACTAGTATTCGTATCTTTCTTCCTGCCCGAATATCAGTGAGCACAAACAGTATAAATAATTAAATAAACTGAGACCTGGGATGGAGAGCATGCTAGTAAATGAGGGAAAATGAAGGAAGGGAGGGAGGAGAGCAAGGGTGAGATGGGGTTGGGGGGGCTCAGAAGACCAAGCTGTTGTAATAATCTGCAAATTTCCTCAGATGACGCAAAGACTTTGACTTTGCCTACCGTCCCATCTTCATCTCCACATCCCTCCTCTCGTCTGTGTGTCTCTCCCGATGCCTCGCTCTCGTCGGATGGGAGACAGCGACACACAGCAGGTAAGGCTGTTTGCCTTCTGGTTGCCCCCCCCCCCCATATGCTCCCATTAATTTAATTTAAAGCTGAAAGATGATGATCGCCTATGACAGCACTGTCAGATTCTTTAGTCTCAGGCTCTTTTTCATTGTGATCAGTCGTTATTATTGTGTTTTTTCTGGTAGTAATTTCCGTGAGAGTTAAACTATTGTTGGTTTTGAAAAGTTAACTGTCACCTCTTAAATCAGATGTGTGAACATGTGGTGGGCAGTCATATATTAACAGTTATCTGCATTGTTTGAGCATGCTGTCTGCCTTGAGGATTTTCCAAGGCGTCTTTTGGCCAAATGAGAAGATGGATTTACTGTACGGAGGAAATGAGCTGTGTGAAATTCAGTCCTGCTGTAGAGAAAAGCAATGGTGAAATTGCAGCAACAGATCAAAAAGAAAAGAAAGGAAGTGAGAGGACGAAGGCAAACGTTTATAAATAGCAGAGCTTTGTGAGGGTGAAGAGAGCAGATGTGATAGACAGTCTGTGCTTAAGGAGTTCAAACAACAGATTAATACACTCAGATTATCGTCAGCGGGAGGGGGGCGGGGGAGTGTGTGTGCATGACATGTGTGGATAGATGCAGGGTAAAATCACACAAGCTCACAAATGTTATCTCTTACTCACAATCCATGTCCACCCCATCTTAAATACTTACATCACACACATACACATCTGTGTGTGTCTCAAATTGTGATGAATGCTGCTTTTCATTGTTTCATATCATTGGACATTAAGGTTCATGGCTGCAGTTGTATCTCTATTGCTGTGCAGAACATTAACATGAGTTAATCAACATTTCATAAACTGAAAGTAATTTGATTGCTAATTGTCATAATTTAAATGTCAAAATATTTGTTTTATTTAATATCACTGGCAAATAACTAACTTTGTGTTTTTGAATGTTGAACAGACATAAAAGAACATTTCAAGATGCCACATTGAGCTCCACAAAGTTGAAGTGTTTTTTTTGGAATCCCTCAATAATTAATATAATTAAATAACTCATTTAAATCACACCAGTCTTTGCTAAGAAGGGCCTTGGTAAACATTTGTTCACACAAAAACGGTTGACAATAACAATCCAGTTTGAATTTGAAATCTGATTATCAAACGTAACTCCATTTGTACTATTTAAACAATATTGACTGACAGATGATTTAATTAACTTAATTTGAAGAACTATAGTTTTGGCCATGACATAACCAACAGGATTGTAATAGTAAAACAAATGAGTTATTTTATCTTCTGCAAGCAGCAAATACCTAATGAGGCGTTAAAGCATGCCAAGTGAGGACACACATTTACCCTCCCAGTAACATCTGATGCACTGAGTAGAGTCCACTTCTGATTGACTCTGACCTTCACTAAGAGGGTTGATACACACAGTTGAACTGTCCTGCTGCAGTGATCTGGTAGAGCCATGCACCAGACACGTGTTTGATGGCAGTCGTGCATATGTTGAAGGCATTAGGTGCCGCTCTTCTTTGAACTGCATGGATCCCCAGATGTGTGTGTGTGATAGAGAGAATGTGTTAATTTGCATTATTGATATTTACATATAGAGTGAATTAATTTCAACATATTGCATACTACTAATACAGTTTTGTCGAGGATAACCTCACGAAATTCTTATATTGTTTCAAGCTCTATTATCATTGTAAAGCTGCATTGACCATCCTCATCTCCCTCTGCTGAGCGAGGGGAGGATCGGGTGGATGACGGGTGAGGATTATTTCTCGATCCCTTTGCAAAGCTCACACCAAACAATCAACCCTTGGAAATAATCATCTGAGACACAGTTACAAATTCACACACACACAAGCACAGATGCCTTTTTCTTCTTAAAGTACACATGTTCTATCTTTTCATTATAATACTACTATAATATAGCCTGTAACCTCTAGATGAACTCGAATCAAAAGTCGAGTTTGTATCCACTGACAGCACTTAAACGAGAATCCCACTATTAGTTTGTATGCTGTAAAAGCTTTCCTAGTTTTCTTGTAGTATCCAACAGTCTTTAATGATATAAAACATTGCATTTAGGCCTAAAACCAACAATTGAACAATTCTCCTTTTCTCATTAATTTGTTTAATTCATTGATTCATAAAATCTATAAGACGCAAACAAACGGTGAAACTGCCCATCATAGCTCCCAAGAGCCCATTTGGCGTCTTCAATTGTCTTGTTTTGTTAAACCTAGAGTCCAACATCATCGATATTCAGTAAATAAAATATATGACGTATCCATGCAGCAGAAAGTGCAAACAGAGAATGTCCATCCATCCATCTTCTCCCGCTTATCCGTGGTCGGGTCGCGGGGGTAGCAGTTCCAGCAGAGAGCCCCAAACTTTCTTTTCCCTGGCGACATCAACCAGCTCTGACTGGGGGATCCCAAGGCGCTCCCAGGCCAGCGAAGAGATATAATCCCTCCACCTGGTCCTAGGTCTACCCCTTGGTCTCTTCCCAGCTGGACGTGCCTGGAACACCTCCCTAGGGAGGCGCCCAGGTGGCATCCTAACTAGGTGCCCGAACCACCTCAACTGGCTCCTTTCGACGCGAAGGAGGAGCGGCTCAACTCCGAGTCCCTCCCTGATGACCGAACTTTATCCCTAAGGGAGACACCGGCCACCCTGCGGAGAAAACCCATCTCGGCCGCTTGTATCCGCAACAGAGAATGTTTCCCACTATTTTTGCTTGGAATATTACTGAAATTATAAATCTATTGGCAACATGATTGCATGCTTTGGTTTAAGTTAGATTCATAATCCTGATGTATTAATTCAATAATTTAAATTGCTAAAAGAAACATCCGACTTATTAATCGCTGTAACCAATATGCTAAATAAGTACATAAAGATGACATGCAGTCTGTCAAACCACATTTATAATCTCATGTTGATTTATATCACAGCTATTGAACATTACTGTAATGTCGAGCTTTAGATCAGGCAGATTGCAAGGGAGGGGGAAGGTATAGAGTTAGACCACGTGCATCTGTTTGATGTCCTGAATCGACATCAGCGATTGGCTAGTGAGCCTGTGTCAACAGCATTTAAGCAAGCACTGAGATAGTTCTTCGTGTTCTGCTCTGATGGTACGTGTTCCTTCATCTTCATCATCTTGGGCTCATTTACAGTAATTAAAGCTTGCTCTTCAGGGAGATTAACTCATTCTATCGACTGCCCATTTTCCTGGGAACCATGAAGAAGAAGAAGATAAGTAAGTACATTTCTGTACGTGGAGACTGATTGTGATGTTAATCACACACTGCATAGGTCACCATCTACATCTGATGGATTACAAGGGTGTTTACATTGAGGACCCTGATGTTTATCCAGTCTGCTCCTCTGTAAAAGTCTCTCTGGGAGATGTTCTGTCTTGCGCCTGCATCTGGCCCATGCTACGACATCACTTCCAAACCAGCTGGAGTTACTTCCTTGTTTCTTAGCTCTGAGCTGGACTCACTTTGAAGTCCTGCTACCTTCAGCTCTCATGATCAACATGTGTTTTCTAAGCTGTCTCTTAGCGACCAGGCCTCACTTCAAAGGGGAATGCCTTCTGGTCTGCAGATCACTGGCAGACCAGCTATACCTGTGTCATGTTTCTACAAAAGCCAGGATTTACTGTAAGCGCCTTGACCAAACAATCTGAACCTGCTGGCTTTGCTGTGTTTTATTAAGGATGCTAAGCTGTAATATGATGTAATCAAGCGTATCTATAGCCAGTTGTTCCTCTCCTGGCTGTTGCTCTGATACTCTAATCAGCATCTGTTTCCTGTGTACCTATAAACTGTACTTGGGTAAGCACTTTTCAGGCAAAACATTAGAAACTAAAGAGTTGAATTAAGCCCTACAAGGTTGTAAATAGTTTCAGTTTTCCTCAGTTGAACAGAGCCACCAGCCCAGCCCAGCTGGTGTCTAGAAGCCAGCTACATTTTGTCTTGAGACCTCTCTGACATATCCTGGAGCAGGAAACTAATCTGTCTGTTGGGAAAGGAAGAGAGAGTTTCAGGTCCCTGAGTATATCCTTGCAGCTAATACTCCTCAGCGCCGCCCTCCTCACAGGACACATGCTGTTGCTTCATTATTTCAGTGCCTCCATCTGACCTACCCATAAACAAAGGTTTAATATCCAGATTTCATTGCTGGAGAGGACAACAATCATCCTTATTATTTTTCTGCTTCTAACATGTGACTAGGCTTAAATTGCTTTATACATATATATTATTTGGAAGCTCAGGATTAGCATAGCCAAAAGTGTTGTCCCAAACAATGCTAACCAGCCTGTATCATAGCTTGAATTCCTCTTAATTTCACCCACCAGGTTTTGCGTGACAGATTTACAAAACCCTATCAAACCTTAAAAGGGTCTGATCCCTTTAGTGATTTAAATCTTTAAACCTTTAGTTATGATTATAAAAGAGACATTTTCCCACCTGGTGACCAAGTGACGTTACCGAACAATGTTCATACTAAGAATGACTCAAGGATTGAAAAGAGGATTTGTAAAGACTATAACATTGGAACACCCTTCCCCCTCCTCTCCTCCGTACTTCGTTCAACGGGGATTATATCTTTGCAATTGAAATTTAGCAGGACATTCTCCGCCCCCAAAATATACAATTTCAGATCATACTGGCAATCCGTCTTTGTGTCCAGAACGTCGACTGTTGCAGAGACTATAAAAGGGGACAGATATGGATAGGATGCTGAGCTGAAAGTGTGACAGCAGACAAACTAGTAGGTAACATCTTCGTGTTCCCACTTGTCTACTATCATTTTGTAGGCAACTGTATTTTTACTGCTGCATATAATACCGTTTGCTCAGATGATGAATTATAATCATGTCTGATTGCAAATGTCTCACTGAGTTATAGTGTTTGTAAATCTGACATTCATACATCTGACAAGGATTTGGCATGGCTTCGCTGCTCTCAACATGTGTTTATATACGATTAATGTTTGGAC